AGCACATAGCCTACAATTCATTTAAGACACACGGCCCCTAGCCTATATCCATTCATATTACACGGCCCTCAGGCCCACATTTTTACAATGTTCATTCAAATATACACACATGTATAAACGGCACGAGTGTCCACATCACATATCTCAACAATTTCCTACCCTCTACTCAGCCACATCATAATATCACACAAAATATTAGCAAATCACAGATAAAAGAGTACGGTAGAGTCCCTTTTTACCTCAGATTGATGTCCAACATGCTAAATCCACCAAGAAGTGCTCCCCCTCACAGATTTTGTCCTAAACACATGGAAGAATTCCATGAGAACCCCGAAAATCACCAAAAACAGAAAAAGAGAAGGAAAACGAAAACCCTAACCGTTTAAAACTCACCTCCAAGCGTTCCCTACACAAATCTGAGCTCCAATCTCGCTATTGAATGGCTTTGGAGGCAATTAATCGGTGGAATAGGGTTTGGAAGTGAGAGAATCGAAGGAATTTCAAAGAGAGAGAGAGAGAAATTACTCTTCCCAAACCCTAGCCCCCTTTAAATCCTTTTCTGGTCGCGACACTCTCGCTGCAGCGAAAAAATAAGAGAAAACTGCACTCTGATTTTTGCAGAATCTCGCTACAGCGAAATCCTCTCGCTGCAGCAAGATTACACCTAGAAATGCACCCCAAACTATCAATTTGTCGCTACAGTAAAAAGGCGACAGTTCTGGTCCTTCCTTCCAGGGCCTTCTCGCTACAACGAGAATCCTCTCGCTGCAGCGAGAATAACCCAGTATGTCGCCCTGTACTTAGGCACTTAGCCCATTTCAGTCCAACCAGTCATACATACACATATCCATGTAATTAATACACATAAAACATCATTTTCAAATAAATCAACACACATATGAATATATATATATATATATATATATAAGAATAATAATAATAATTAATATTACCAAAATTCGGGACTTTCCAGTAAATTTGTCAAGTTTTCTAACTTGTGTTCCCATACTGTACCATTTATCGAAAGTATATAAATTTTTGCTAATTATGTTTTAATAATATTAGTGTTAAATGTAAATTAATTTCAATGTGAAAGAGGGATGTTACTATAAGTTACCCATTATGCAGACCCATCTTTTCGTCGCCCAGTTTAGTGTTGTTGTCGTTCGATCGAATCTTACATAATACAGGGTTATTGTTGATAAATAACTTGTGTGTTTAATTTCACTTATGATTTCTAAGAATTATTGTTTAAAAAGTTGTTGTATTAAGATGCATTTAGGATATTTGAATATTTAATTTTTTATTTATGCTTATATCTTCTTCGGCAACTTATGTGAAGTTATATAAACATATTTCTTTATAAATATTTTTTTTTCTCAAACAAGCACGGTAATGGAGATTAATATTACTACCTATGTGGGTATAGGAATGGGTACTAGTACCCTACCCATTACCATTCCTAATCCTAGAATATAAAGAACATAAAAAAAGTATGCTGAAAAAGTCACTGGTAGTGTGAACAGTAGTAGTTGGAAAATTCACCAACAATGGTGGCCAGAAAAGCTGCTGGTGGGGTGAACAGTGGCAGTAAAAAAAATAAATCAAAGAGACACACGGTTTCTGAAGAAAAAAATTATACCAATGAACAATGGGTCCACAAGGAAAGGATAAATTAGGGTTTCCTCCTTGTTAGGCTCTTGATACCATGTTGAGAAAAGAGAACAAGAAACATAAGATGGATTTGTATGTTTTGACCACACACCAGAACATATATTTATAGTAGGAACTATTGATGCAGAATAAGAAGTTACTATAATTACAAAGATACTAACTTCCCTATTTATAATATTACTATAATTACATAATTCCAATAGGAACATTACATATGCTCGTGTACTCGACTAAAGAAGATCCAAGTTTGATAACTATAGTATGAAGTATGCGTTCATTGACTATGATACAAACTCAAAAGGTTACAAATTGTATGACTCAAACAATGGCAAAACAGTAATGAGTCGAGATATTGAATTTAATGTAGAAGAAGCTTAAAATAGGGAGAATGAAGAAGACACTTATATTTTTTTCTCCATACTTTGAAGAAAGAGATCAAGAAAGAGGTTAAGTACCAAATGAGTTTCTAGTTCACCTCTTTCGTCAATTCATGAAACATCGTCATCTTCTAAAGAGTGTTCAAGTGAAAGGCCAAGAAAAATTACAAGTCTTCAAGAATTATATAATAAACTCAAATGATAAATAGTTTGTTTTGTTTGTTTGTTTGGTGATAATGAACCTTTGAATTTTAATGAAGTTACGAAGGACCAAAGGTAGAGAAAAATAAAAAAAACACAGTGTTTCATGAGTGTAATAATACATAAATACAGGATATTATTTCATTAACGAATGTATTGCCAAGAAAGAAGTGGAGTGGATTATGTGAAGACTCAAAAGGTTACAAATTGTACAACTCAAATAATGGCAAAACAGTAATGAGTCGAGATATTGAATTTAATGTAGAAAAAGCTTAAAATAGGAAGAATGAAGAAGACATTTATATTTTTTTTCTCCATACTTTGAAGAAAGAGATCAAGAAAGAGGCTAAGTACCAAATGAGTTTTCTAGTTCACCTCTTTCGTCAATTCATGAAACATCGTCATCTTCTAAAGAGTGTTCAAGTGAAAGGTCAAGAAAAATTACAAGTCTTCAAGAATTTTATAATAAACTCAAATGATAAATAATTTGTTTTGTTTGTTTGTTGATAATGAACCTTTGAATTTTGATGAAGTTACAAAGGACCAAAGATGGAGAAAAATAAAAAAAACAGTGTTTCATGAGTGTAATAATACATAAATACAAGATATTATTTCATTAAAAAATGTATTGCCAAGAAAGAAGTGGAATGGATTATGTGAAGACTCAATATCAAGTTGCAGATATTTTTTTTCAAACTACTCAAATTTTAAAATTTTAAAAGAGCAAATATAAGACTTGGAATACAGAAGAAATTAATAAAAAAATTAATTAAGAGAGAATGTTAGAAATAATAATTTAAAAGTAAAGTGATGTACAAGTTATAGAGATGAAAAGTTGTAAGCAAAAATGTATTAGAGTCAGTTAAGGATAATGATATTTTTGTTTGTAACAACTTGACATTTACCGACATAATAAGATAATTATTTGATATAAGTTAAAACTCATTATACTACTATTATAAATAGTATATTATATTTATATTCATATATTTTGTGTGACAAATAATAAAAATTCTTCTATTGTTTTAATTTTTCTCCTCTTACCCTAACACCTTGTCTGGTATAAAGAATCAGTACAACTCGGTGATTTAACAGTTCCCTTGCTTTTGGAAATGAGGCTCATATGAACTTCTCAAGACCATTGATGATATATTGGTCCTTCAATAACGTTGGGGATGATGGATAGATATGTATTTTCTGAAGCAATGAAGGTAATATGCAGAGAAGATGTCTTGTGATGGGTCAATCACGGCAGAATGCAGCAACCAGAGCTAATAGAAAAATGAACTTTTGAGAGAAGAAATGATAAAAGACTGTGAAATAGGAGAATGCATATTTTTTCACATAGTGATTTTACGGAAAGGAGGCTATATATACAAGATTCTGCGGTACCTATTCCTAACGAATTTGATCCACAGAATCAGTCAAAAACCAGTACTACTTAGACAGTTGTATCTGTACAAAAAGAATACTGAGAAAAGGACAAAATCATGACTCAGAATCCCTCTGGTCCATGTTCTCTAATATACTCAAAAGTAGAATAAAAACATCATAAAGACCAAGCAAGCAATACAAAGGTGGGGAAACAAAGCTAGCTTTGCTGTCATGTCACCTAATCGAGTAAAACAATTTCTTTATTCTTTTTGTACTAAATTGACTCTTTACACATCAATTCCTTTAATTTGCACACTATTTAGTTTAGTTGTCTCGCTCCCTGTTGATCACTGGTTCATCATAACTTTGATTCCATTAACTCCGCAGCCAAACTCTGCCACTGCTAGCATTAGTAATGATCCTGTGGGCTTCCTTGGCCTTCTTGAAAGCAAGAAGTTTTTGTATGTAATCCATTAGCCACTTTCCCTTTAGTATATATCTGCAATTAATCATAATATTTAATTTCTGCCTTATTTACTCAGAACAATTTGCCAAGTCTCCAACATGATTTAAGGGAGAACAAAATAAAATTTAAAGTATATGAACAAATCCTAATTCCTGAAGAAATTTGACATCTCAAACTAATTTTGAGTTTCTATAACAAAATACACCACCATGAACGTCATGGGTTCAGGCATATACATATCTGCTAATAAAAAAAAAGTTTGCACCCAACGTTTCTTACATAATTCTTCTATGAAATTAATCATGGTGTATACCAAATTAATGGATGACTAGCACAAATTATAAATAGAAAATGTATGAACATATTATTTAAAAAAAAACAAGCAACTCAACTATTCTATTCCTTCTCCGACCAATAACACAAGAATAAGCATTTCAAAGCCTAACTACCCAATGCTTGCCTTTAAAGGTGCAAGTCCTTCTGTTTTTTTTATTTTTATTTTTAGGAAAAAGGGCAAATTACTTAGAAGTGCATGATAAGTGACATTTCCGAGCAAACCACATAATAGATAGTCCCGCTTACGGGAAGCTTACATGAGTAACAAATAGTAACTATCAAATTTCAACACACAAATGTTTCAACAAAAGAAAGTTATTACCTTGTAATGAGGCTACCACTTCTTCGCTTGTTTGAATGGCGGCAAGAGAGCCAAATTAGAATGACAACCAGACCAAACCAGATTGGTCGTGAGATTAGAATGGCACGGACAAGGAAAGGAAGTCTGAAAAGTCTACCAAGTGTCTAAACCCATAAAGAAAGACAGAGAACAACTTAGGATCATATAATTAGAGGGGCTAACAAATACATATTTTAAGTTCAATTTAAAGTACAAAAGTAAAATCGTATTTTTAGTATTTGAAGCAATTCAACGTGTCCAATGGCTTCAACTAAATCAGTAGGCAAGTCCATGTCAACCGTTAAATCCTGCTAGCGTCATAATATAAAAAAAAGAAACTTGTATTTAAAGAAAAAACAAGAACTTTCGGTTTATCGTCACTTACATTTTCATCTGCGTGAGAAACAATTACATTCTTATCTGCTGGGATATCATCACTTCCAGTAATAGTATAATTCTTTTCATCTGCCATATCGTCACTAGAAACAACATCCTTGTCTGCAGCATTGCACTCTTTATTATCACATACATATTCATTACCCTTAGAAACAACAATCTTATCCATTGGCATACCATCATCACCAGAAACAGGAAAATTTTTCTCTGTTGCTATATCATTCCCACCAGAATCACAAACACTTTTGCACATTGTTACTTCATGACCAGAAACTATATCATCCCTATCTACTGCATGGCAGTGTTCCATTGCTTCATCAATTTGTTTATCATATAAGAGATATATTGTTGTATTCTTCACAATGAATCCTTGCCCATAAACAACAATAACCTCCACCTTGTTACCAGGTTCTAGATTTGATGTTATGCTCTGCCAGTCCTCATCTTCAAAGGAGGTTAGTGTATCTCTTTTATAGACCAGAATGGTTCTCTTAGTGTAATTATTGATTAACACATTTTGACACCCCTCTGATATCATGTCATCGGGAGAATAATAGAAAATGGACAACATCATGCTCCTCAGGTTATGTCCATTCATATGTGGGACTTCAAATATTACCGAAGAACCTTTACAATGGAAGGTTAACCAATCAAAATAATTATCACCAGGGAAGGAAAGAAAATCTCCAAGCCCATGCGTAGCCTGTACAATAAACAAATGTTCGAAAAGTGCCAAAAATAATGTAACTTGAATTGAAAAGGTAAAGATATATAAAAATTGTAAAACACTAACAATTTGGGCCGGTCAATGACTGATCAAAAAACAAAAAGTACCGTGCAATTGTTTTATACTCAAATTTAATGTTTGGATCACCTTAAAAATGAATAAACTTATTTATGTTACTTATTTTAAAACTATATCAAAACAAATTTTTGTTTTGGAGCCCTAGGACCTGATTCTTGGTTAGTTTTTTGGCTTCATATTTTTCATTTTTCCATTACTTCACCCATATTACCTGAAAAATATAAATAAATAAAATATACAATTTTTTCACAAAATAGATAAAATTAAATTTTTTGTTTTATATTAATACAAACACTTAAATTAAAAGAATTTCAAAATCAAATCAGATCTTATTCTGTAACTTTTCAAAAAAAGTAAATTATAAAATCATACTAATTCTTAAAAGTTATTTCTATTCAAACCACTCCCTTGACAATATACAAGTATTTCAACGATAATTCTAAACTCATATGATAGTAGATAATCTAAATAATTTAATTGTTAGAAAAGGTGATTCAATAAATGTTTACCTATTTTTATTTGTAAAATTACATATATTCTCTCTTAATATATCTGATCATCTAAATATAAATAAAAGGTAACATGGCCTTTTGATATTCAATATATTACATCCATCAATCTAATTTTTTATTTAAATTATATGCACAATTCAGCCATTGAATTGTTCAACCGTTTTACAGACTACATACTATAAAGATGATTTTAAATATCTAAAACTAAATTATTGTGTGGTTCAAATTAATAACTAAATTGTAAACAAGATAAAATTTTCCGGAATAAAATACTTGTTTACTTGAAGAAAGAAAGAAAGAGATACACATAAGAAATAAACAAACCTGTAAAATACTTTCTTTGAGAATATTGAGCATCTGACCTTTAGCTCCAATCTGTATTAAAAGGGATTTTAAGAAATTCTTTGACTCTAAAACATGAATTTGACCATGACAATCAACTAATGGAGAACTTTTCACATCAGAGATTTGTGACGTAAATACACTTGCTTCCAATTTCTTATAATTTGTGCCTTTTAAGATGTCCAAAATTCTTCTAACATCCTGAGTTAGTTGGAATTCTGAGTCACACACCACATAAAGGCTTCTAAGTTTTGGAAGGTCCTTCAAAATAGATGATACACTATAAAAGCTACTATCTGGGCCATCTAAGAAAACACGAGAAGACATACTCATATTTGATTGAATTAGGGATGACAAAATATTTGTTGGTGACATCCAAGACCAAATGAGAGAAGGAAATATATCACGTGAAAATCCTTCAAAGCCACATAAAGAAATATATCCAATGCTTTTTGATCTTATTATTGAGAAGGGGACTTTCATTATGGCAGTATTATCTGCAATCAAAATTGTCAAAGATTTCATCTGTTCCAAGTCTTCCTCTAACTTGTCAATCTTTGAACATCCAGAAAGAATTAAAGTTTCCAGAGATTTCAATTTATAGATACTTCTGGGGAGCTTTTGAAGGCCCGTACACGCTTTCAAATTTAACAGAAGAAGCTTATTTAGATATCCAATAGTATGGGAGATAGCAGACAAACTTGGACAATCTTTAAGTAATAGCTTTTCAAGATTAGGCAAGTACGAAAAGTTTGGCGTTTTGGTCAAGTCATGGGAATGACTAAGATTGAGAATTTTTAGATTCACTAGCACCTGCAAGAAGAAAATAAAATTTCAATATAAATAAAAGAGAAGAAGCATTGGAAAAATAGACGAAAAGGAAGATAGTTTATAATTACCCTTGATACTAGAACATGACACTGATTACTTTAAGCCACATAATTTTATGTTTTAATCCTCCCACTTTTACAATAAATAATTGCTCTCAGTGTGTGTTGACACATCCACGCTCAATTTGGAATGATATTTAATATGAAATATTCTCTAATAAAACAAAAAAGATTTCAATCCTGATCCACACTTCTCTTTTGATGATTATATGTTTAAGTTTTAACTTGAACTAAAAATTTTAACTTTAAAACTTAACTGAATTTTAATTTTCAAGTTAAAAAAGAGTTGTGTTACATGTATGGCAAGAGAAAAAATTATTTCAAGAATGTCTAGTGAAATAGATGCTATTACCAAAATTACTGGCAATATCAAATTAACTTAAAGAAATCAAAATAGGTATTGAAACATCTAATGCTTCATTTTATGTTTTACCTCTCTTCTATTCATTACTTCCTAAAACCATAACATACTAAAATTGAAAATCTATATGAGGTGCTAAATTTAGATTTGTTGCATCTGGAAATAAGCTTAGTGAAAACAGCTCATGAACAAAATAAAAGTCAAGATTTTATACCTGGGCCTTCTCCCACATTTGTTTAAGATTGCTATGTTTCAATTCAATGGCAACTAAACTTGTTTGACGAAATTCTGCAGGCATGCAACTTAAAGGAAAGCTATGCCAGCATAGAAATCTAAGATCTCCTGAAAGATATTTAAAATCCCCATCAAGTTGCACACCAAAAAGTTGAAGCAGTCTAAGACTATTCATCTTCTTAAATGCTTTGGTCTTCAAGCAAATTGTAGTTTTCTCGGTTAACTTCAAAGTCAGTCCCTTAATAGCTTTTGTTCCCTAAATAAAATAAATAGACAAACCAAAAATAGATAGTTTAGATATCTCATAGCTACACAGCTTTTTATGATGTTTAAGAGCTATAATAAGCACAAAACAATTTATAATGAAACTTATTTATATATTTCATGGGATAATTAAGCATCCAAATGTCTATTTTGGTTCCTATTGTATTACAAGCTTTATATAATCATACAAGAAGTTCATACCTTATATTTTGATAATACATCAATAACTTCTTCACTAAGCCATAACCTGCTACGTTCCTCAGGATCATCTGGCGATTTTTCACGAATTATTTCTCTTCCCATGTCTCTTAGCAAATCATGCATTCCAAGCTTGTTCTTATTGTCAACAGTAACAAGGCATCGCTCTACAAGAACACTAATTCCAATCTCTGGAAAGCATCCACAACCATTTAATATTTGTATAACATCATTGCGATTCATACCAATAAAGAAGCAAGCTATGTCAAGGAATATTTCTTTCTCTCTATCATCATTTAAACAATCGAAACTTATTCTCAACTTCTTCTGTACTTCATTATTGGGAATTTTTTTCAATTTATCCAATACACTTTTCCATTCTGTTATTCCCCTATCAAACAAATAAGACCCAAGGACTTCAAGTGCTAAGGGCAATCCCCCAGAATAAATGACAACATTCCTTGAAAGTTCAACAAAATCATTTTTAGGGCTTGCTTTCTTGAAAGCATGCCAACTAAAATGCTCAAGGGATTCAGTTTCATTCATTTTTTCCATTCTGTATATATGATCAACTCCATGAACTTTAAGTAGATGTTCATCTCTTGTTGTGATGATTATTCTACTTCCTGAGCCAAACCATTCCCAGCTACCACACAAAGCATTCAATTGATCCAATTTATTCACATCATCAAGTATAAGGAGTACCTTTTTTTGGGCAAGTCTTTCCTTTAAAATATTTTTTCCTGATTCAATGTCAAGTAACTTCGATGCTGTTGATTTGCAAATATCACTAAGCATCTGTCGTTGTAAAGAAACTCGATTAATATTCTGCTCCCAGACTTCCCTGATATTTAAGAGGAAGCTCTTACCCTCAAAATTTCGCCCAATTTTGTTATAAATGGCTTTAGAAATGGTTGTTTTACCTAACCCTCCCATTCCCCAAATTCCTAGAATTAGAACATCTTTTGATTGCTGGCTGTTTAACAGTTCAATAACAACTTTCAAGCGAGATTCTATTCCCACGGGATGATTAGCAACAAATAATTCTCTCTTATCTACCAAATGAGCGACATGTTCAACAATATTCTTGATATCTTCACTCTCATTCCTATAAAATACAGATCAAGAATAAGATGCATAATCAAAAGTATATATAAGCATCACGTATCAAAGAAGAGGAAGAAACATGAGCAAGTGCATGTGCATTTGCATAATCTCTACTGTTTATAAAAGACTGAATGCAATGAGAATGAAAGTATTTTCCGTTGCCTAACATAAAATATGTAAGTATAATTAAAATTGAATGGGTGAATCAACATCAGAAAAATTAGAAATTTTGAATTAAAAACACGTGTTAGCCATATCATCTTACATATTTAAATAAACAAGAAAATATTCATCAACATGCATAAATACTAGAAGAGGAACTTATCTTGCATAGAAGTTCCGATATGTAAATTGAAATTAATATTACATATAAATTAGTCCCTCGGTTAGTAACAGTTCGGCATATTAGGTCCTTACCTTTGTAAATTTCTCTGTTAGTTCACGATATGACATTCTATTAAGCAGTTCAGTCCTCAATGTTAACGAACATTTAAAAAATGTTTAAGTGATATGTGTGATACAATGGGGCAAAAAAATAACATTATTTTTCTGAGATTGATGCCTTTTGTGAAGATTCAAAGGTAGTGATAAAAAAAATTAAAGAAAGGCATGACTTTTAAGATGAAGGAGACATATTGAGGCAAAGACGATGTCAGAAGGGACTAAAAGACAATGTTAGAAGGGACCAAGGTACAAGCCCTAGTGTTGTAAATGCTGTATTGGGAGTGAAAGAGATGTCCATTGTATTAGGGTTGTAAGAGATTGAGTTGCTTGGTTGTGGTTGGATTTTTTTTTTTTCAGGACTGTTGAATCAGACAATTGTAGAAATGGAGGGCTATGGTGTTTTAGTTGAATTTAAACCTTTTTATTTGTCAAGGTGAGTAATGGGACATGCGGTCTTCAATTGTTTGTTGTCGAAAGTAGGGCAAAATAGTTGGCATTTAAGTCGTTTTTTTAATGAAACATTTATTATAGTGATATATTATTGTTAGTTTTTTATACTTTGTATAATAATTAATAATTTATTTATTTATTTTAATAATATTTTAATTAAATATTTTAATATTTAAATTTTGACTAAACTTCCAAATTAGTCTCTAAGATTGTGTGTAATGGGTAAATTAGCCCCTTAATTTTAAAATGGACCTATTAATCATCAAATTTGTCAAATGACGTAATTTTAGGATGAAGAAAAGAAAAATGACATTGTTTTGACATCTTGAGCGTCATTTAACCACAAACATTAACACTAATAGGATAGAAACTATTAGTTTAACTAAAATGTCAAATGTTTCATAAAGTTAAGGATTAACAAGTCCATTTCAAAATTTATTGACTAATTTACTCTATGCTCACACTTTTAGAGACTTATACGAGAGTCAGTCTTTAAATTTTTGTCATTCTAGTACACCATGGAGGAAAGTTTGTAATTGAAGAATGAGGAAAAAGTACTTATAAATGACTAAAATGAGGAAAGATAAATGAGGGATAATATTGATGAAGATTTGATAGATATATTAAATTATTTCACCAAATTTGCAAAAAAAGACATGGAAAACACTTGTAAATGTGTTTTGACATGACCCCAAATTGAGTTTTGAAGATGAGTTGAGGCTTATTCAAGTTGATGTTAATGTGTTAACAATGGTTCAAGCTATTAAAAATAATGATAAAGTGATTAATGTATACTATGAGCATCCAATAACAAAACCAAAGCTCATAGATGTGGATTGAATTCACTTCATTGAGCAAGGCAAAGGTGATGAAGTTGATGAGGGTCTTGTAGGTGGACATGTATCTAATGACAAGGTTAAAACAACACAAAGAAGAAGAAAATAAAAATAAGGAGAAAAGTTCTAAGACAAGAAAGAAAGGAAAAAGTTCTAAACTTGATGATAATCTTAAAGAGGTTGTTCCTAATAAAAAAGGCTAACATTGGTCATAGAGATTTTACTAAGGGTGGTGTTGATGTGTAATAAATAGAATGATACAAGGGAGGTTGAGCTCATAAGTGACATGAATACTACTTTTAAGAATGAAAATACAAGTAAAGGTAAAGGGGGAAAAAAGGATTGGAAGGAAAGTCAAAAAAGAATAACAAAGGCAAAGAAAAACAAAAGCAAAGCAAGAAAGTAATAGTTAAGAAGATTTAAATGTGGACAACAATGAAATAGAAGAGATAAGACACAAGAAAAATTATGGGATTAGGACCAACAAAGAATGACAATAAGGAAGAGTTATAAGTTTTTGAGGAGTTAAAGACTCCACAATGTTTAAAAGATGAAGGAGACTCAAGAAATGTGTTTTCACAATTTGATAAGACTACTACATTTGGTCATGAAAAATTGGAGTTTGGAATGGAGTTTGCAAGTCTAGACACTTTCAAACTAGTTGTCAAAGACTATTGTTTAAAAGAGCAGAGAAATCAGTTGACTTAGGAATGATAAAGTTAGGGCAAAAGCACAAAGCAAGGTTGACACCTGTGACTACAAAAAAATTTGTAGCAAGAATTTGAAAAAAATATGGTTACTAAATTAAGACTTTCAATATAAAACATAATTGTGTAAAAATACATAAAATGAAGACTACTTATCAAACATGAGTGACAGAAAAGCTAGTTAAATATGGTGTTGTAAGGAAAAATATGGTGTTGAAATTGAATCTAGGCTAACACTGTTGAGGGTGTAAAAATTAGTAGAATAAAACGTGCATGATGTGGTGCATCATTAACAAATATAACAAGTTATCACAAAAAGTTGACCTACTTATCTTTGGGAAAAATGTGAAAAATGAATCACTACTCTTTAAATCATTATAATCAAATTTTTTAGAGGAAATTTTTACCTTAAGATACTTTAAATTAAACCTTTGGACCAACCTTTTGATGAATAAATTATAGTAATTGAAGTCATAAAAAGTTGATGCATTTAGTCTTCTTGAAATCATGAAAAGATGAATGACTGCTCATTAAAGTAAATATTGACCTTTGAATTTACTTTAAATTTTCACCCTTATATATATTGATCTTTTCATGAACAAATCTTAGTCATTAAATTAAGGTTATACATATTGTAAAATTCCTCTCGTCATGGCCAAGTTCACAACTATTTTTCCTTCACCATCTCCTAGAAATCTTCTTTTCTCCTACTCATATTTGCTTCCTTACACTTAGAATAACACTTTTCACCTAAGAATAATCATCTTATGGAGTTATGAGAATGAATGAGAATAAGAGCTAGTGATAAACCTTCATATCCTTAAGGGCTTAGGGCTAGGGACAGTACTTAAGTGAATAGAATGAGTAGGGCTTAATAGAAATATCTTTCCCTTAGGGTTGTTTTTGTGATGTACCATGCTTTTATGATTATTTTGTTCCTTATTTCAATGTTTGCTTTGTTTAATAATGATAACACGAAAGAAATGATATGTATGGTTTATATGGTATCGGATATTATACGTGATGATGATACATTGGATAATACTAGCTCCTTCGATAGGGGATAATTTTGAATATACATGAATCATGAAATTTATGTACACTATCATCTTAATGGATAAGTTTTAATGAAAAGGTAAACTTAAAAATGGCTTTTGACTAAATAGAACATTGCTTTATTGCCTTAATGAGACACATGAATCCAAGTTGCTTAGTAGCCTTGTGCATCACCACCAAATTGTACAAGTTTTTACTAAAAAATAAACTTGAAAGGTAAAAGTCAAGGTCCTCAAGAAATTGAGCGAGCATACATTATATTTCTGAGTGCTCAGTCTCGCTTGAGCGAGATTTGCCTCACCTAAGCAAGATCTCTGCACCAGAATCATACAAAAAATCCTTAATACTCACTTCTAAATGCATTCTAATACTGCTTAATATCAAACAAAACATAATTTACTGAATAATAAAAAAGAGGGTGTTACACATACAGAGTAGCTAATAGCGAATTTATTGAACATACGCATAATTCACTATGGTAATTTATGTTAGGCGTATGACACTGACTCCCATGAATGTTTGTATCAAGATAGATAGTAAGGGTTTTGCGTCAAACTAGTCAGCTTGTTACAGCTATGCTATTGACACTAGTAGACTAGTAATGCAACTTTAATTAATTCTCTTTTATGTTTTATCTATGTATTAGTAGGAATGTAGGAAGTGGATTATTTATTGTATCAGTGGGTTTTCTTACAAGATTATAGTGTAAGTATATTGTTAAGAACTGTCTATTGGATGTGCACTCTAATTTGGCACGTGATTGTTACCCTTCAGTTACATAGATGGGTATGATGATATTTATATAAAAATTATTCACTACATAAATTAATCACTATTGGAAGTTGTTTTCAAAGTATCATCATATGTATTTTGAAAGAAAGTTTCAATTGGTGATTGTAAAAATGTGATTACACTCATTTTGAAAAAAGAAAGAATATTTAAGAATTAACTCTATTAACATAATTATTTTTTATATTCATCTTATTTTAAATTAGTTAATAATATAGTAAAAAAAAACTTTGCTAGAAGCAACCCGTAGTTACTAATTTACATCAAAGTCTCTGCAATTTCTAATCTTTGATGCCTCATTATCTGGTTCAAGCATCACAGAGTTCAAGCTCGCTATCTCAATCATTCTTCCATAAACTAGTTCTACCAACTACTTTCTACAATAACTTAAATAAGAAAACAAAGGAAAGATGGTGAAAGATGATAGTACTAACAAAAGGCAAGAGAAGCTAGAGAAAAAGGCCAAGAAATTTAGAATAAGCCTAAGAGGCGGTGGTTTACCCTGTAGTGGATGTTAAAGGATTGAGTCCGCTTATCTCCAACGTCAAGAATTAATCCTTTATGGGATGGATATTGTTCTATCTACTGCAACAGATAACACTAGAAGATAGATAGCCTTTGAAGTTTAGTTGAGGCAATGATTTTTTGAAGCTTCCTTCATTTTTCCTAAACCTTTTGAGCCTACTATTCTTTGATCATCATATGCATCCATATCCTACAATTCTTCTCCCAGTCTTGCACCCAACTAATCAGTTAGTCATAATGTTGTTCATTCTCCCACATATGTTTTTTATGAAGACAATGGGATGAATGAATGAACAAAAACAACAAAAATTATTCATTTTGTAACTTCCTAAATGATTTCTTATGTTTCTTTTCCTTTGCCTTTTTAATTGACATATGTGAATATGCAGTATCATCATATACTCAACAACTTTTTCTGTCGTATCGGTATAATTATATATGTATTTATTATTCCTATCAAATTGGGTTGTGTAGGCTTCAACTATATGAATTGTTCATATATTGGAATGTAAATGTAAAGGTTGTATAATTGCCAGATAAGGAGCAATATATTCACAAGTACTGTGTGATGATGTGGTTAAATGTAAAGTGCAGTGCAAGCCAGAGAATGATTGTTAAGTATGTTGTGCATAAGATAATCTAAAGAATATGGTAAAAAGTTGGTATTATCTCACTCAGGAGAAAGATTTGGAGTTCTAAGTGCAGGGTGTCTCGCTCAAGCGAGGGTAGTCTCACTCAAGCAAGAATAAGTCGTGCAGGATTAGGCATTCTGGAACGTTCTAGCTTAAGCGAGAACAGATAGGATCATCCCAACTGTCTTCTTGCCCAGACTAGAAGAGATCTCGCTCAAGCGAGGGGCAAACTCGCTCAGGCGAGACGTGCTCGCTCAAGTGAGGAGTTGTAAAAAAAATAGATAGCTCTTTGGATCCAATCTCATTCAGGCGAGAATGCTACTCGCCTAAACAAGATGCTGCTTACTCAAGTGAGGTATTATTCACTCAAGCAAGAATAGTAAAAATTTGAGAGGTTTCACTGTCTGATTTTCTAGCCCAAGTGAGAGCAGATCTCGCTTAAGCGAGAATTAGCTCACTCGAGCGAGAGCGCATGGATCTGGAGGGGTATTTAAGGAGTCTCAGCCCCCCGAAACGTTCATTTCTCACGAGATAGCTTTCCTCTCTCATTTTCTCTTTGTTCTCTCACCATCATATCTTAGAAAAAACCTTCTCAAAGCTGAATTTCTTCTCAATAAGTGGAAACCTCTGTTTAGTGTGGATCTAGGTGAGATCTTCAAACCTTATTCTCTATCTTTGGGTTTTATTTCTTCGGTTCCTCTTCTCTAAAGTCTCTAATGCTTAATAGTGAAGAAATCTAAACCGCGAGCATTGTTTCTATATTTGGGAACTCACGTGAAGTTTGATATAAGAAAAACTCATTCCAGGTAAAGGGAGCTTAACTGAGTTGATTTAGTTCATCTGATAGATAATCTCGTTTTAGCTAAGGATGAGTTGTTGTATGAACAAACTTTAGAGTAAAACTCAGAGTATATATGATTGAGTGAATTTCTCTGCTAAATGATAAATGTTTGGAATGCTGTGGTGAAATATGATGTGTTGAAATATTGTGATAAATGTGTCGTATTATGTTGATTTTGCTATGCTGCATCACATTCATTTTCATCATTTTAGAGCTGAATAAGATGTCGAGTTGTGCTATATTTGGATCCAAATACCGGAATGGATCACTCCCAGACCAGAAAATAATTCATCTAGATTACTTAGGCTATGAAATCAAATAGAACTGAAAATCGCTGCATTTGCATTAGATGGGTTGGGAATGGGTTGAACACATTGCATCAATTGATTGAAACTGTTATGCTGAATGTTATGAACTATATGAGTTGTTCAAATCATTTTATATATTCATACTCTACAATTAAGATTGTTAATTATATAAGTTCACTCTTGCATTTTTGTTGTGTTGGTATGTGTGCTGCAATGATTATAGAGTAGTACGTAAGCAGAATGGGCAGGTAATGCATCTACTTCTCAAGCTGGAAGGTCTGGTTAAGAGACAATGGAGTTGGCATTTTTTGAAAAATTGTAGCGTTAATTATTTTTGTCAGTGTAAGTTTTAGTAATAGGTCTAAACTGTTTGGCTACAACTTTTCAAAGAATATAATTATTATTCAAAAAATTTTATTTTGAACTCCTCGTTGAATAACTATTGTAAATATATAAATTTATGTAAAAAAAATTTATTATATAAGAATTTAGGGCTTTGATACTTTGTTAGTCTGGATGTTAAAGTTCAAGTTTTGAAAAAATTATATTCTTTTACTTATGTATGTATTATCTCAAACATAATTAAATGAATTAGGAATAATAATGCAGGATATCAATGATTCTTTACAAAAAAGGGTCGTGACATTTTCTGCAATAGAAAAAGTACTCAAAGGATGTCTCCAATGATCATATCTAAAGAAGAATTTGTATTATAATAGTAAAAGAAGATTTTGCATGTTGTTATCCAAGACCGTCAAACTATCACCTTGCTAAACTTAACCTTGATCTTATTGAAACTTTGATTTTCTAAATATTAGTACTCTCCGTAAGTTGAGTTAAATTGTTGAGTTATCAAATGTAGAATCCTACTAAGTTATCCACTCTCTAAGGTGTTAAAAAAAATCTAAACTAGCTAAAGGGTGTCTTAGTGTTGGCGAGTAAATACACCACCTCCAGAGGTTACTGTGCAAAGAATGTCAATTTGTTAGTTCACAACCTATCTAGCTCAAATTATGGAGTATTATGAAAATACTTTTCTCTACTATTCAAATATATATACTCTAGTAATTTAGAATTACTTTATCCAAACACTACATCGTTGTTCTTTGTTGTTTCATAACATGGATTCTCTCAAAGTTTACGTAAAAAAAAAAAGGTCAGATTAAAAAAAACGAATGAAGAATTTCAAAGCAATTTAAGAATTAAAGTACCTGGAATTTAGGACTACAATCCCTGAAATATCAGCAGCTTCGCGAAGCGCCATCCTCCAACTCAGCACCTCATCTTCCTCTATTGAAATTCTGTTCAAAAGATTTTCAAATGCCTTTCCAAACTCACCGGTTTGATGACGCACTTCAGAAGGATCAACGTCATAGAACACAGGCAGAATTACCTGTTGCCTAGTTCTCTGACTCTTCATTATTTTCTCTAACTCTTGCAAACACCATCTTGAACCTCCATAATTTCTCGAAAAAACAATAGTAGAAACTTGAGACCGTTCAATTGCTCGCAGTAGCGACTCTGAAATGTGATCTCCCCTCGGAAGCGACTCATCGTCCTTGAAAACAGTGATTCCTGCTTGTTGAAGAGCGGCATAGAGATGTGAAGTGAAGGAAGCACGTGTGTCCTCTCCTCGAAAACTCAAGAACACGTCATACACCCATACCGTTCCTTTGAAATGGTTCAACCATTTCGTGAATCCGTCAACAAACTCTTCTTGTGAGATCTTCCTGTCGTCGTTGTAGTCGAAGGCATCCAGAATGCTCAAATCCACATCGGGAATGAAATGCTTCATCGTAGTGAAATTCACACACGAGTCAGATATTAATCTGAACACGAACTGTCCTCGCAGATCTAGAAATCGGGAAATGAAATGAAGTCGTTGACTCGAGGGTGGAGAAGAGAAACAATTATATAAAATGTTGTGGAGCGGAACAGGGAACTGAGTGGCAAACCTTTCCAACCATAATCTAAAAGTTAAATTTTCCCTCTTGTTTATTTCGGGGGAGGATTAACTACATGCTCTCAAATTATTATTATTATTATTATAAAGAAATTGTTATGCCAAACGAAATAAAAAATAGAGTGCGTTTCATAAACTATTTAAAAGCATTAAGTTTAATTATATTTTTATTTTTATATATTAGTTTACTTATAATTTTATAATTTTTATTGATGTAAAAAAATTTTGAGGAGGGGATTGTATTGAATAATTAAAAAATGATAAAGATTAAAAATAAATAATTGAATTTAAAAATATAAAACAAGTTAAAATATAAAAATTTAAATTTAGATCCATGCATTGTATGTGCAAATAAATAAATTTAAAAAAAAATATTATAATTTTTTAATAATAAAAACTGAGTATGTTAAGTATAAGAATATATACTATAAAATAAATATGAAATTATTTTATTTTTTTTTAATTTTGAAGTTATTGTAATTTTTTTTTCTAATAAACGAAGATAAAAAAAATTTTAAAAACAGTAAAGGCCTAAGAAACGCATTTAGGATATTATAAACTAAAAGCATCTAGATTTAAAAAAGAATATAAGGAAGAGGAGGCTTGATTAAAGCAATAAAAAGACATCTCACAATTAGTTTCAACTTTAGTAAGCCAATTAGTATATTGATTGATTTTTTTAAAAACATGATTAAATCTAACAAAGTGAATACATTTCAACAAGATCTTAATCTTTTTAATTATATAATACAAAGAGTGATTAAATTTATTGTAATTTTTGTATAGATAATAATTAAATATTAAATTATGTTAATTACACATAGTAACATAGATGAGAATTTTTTTTATGTAATAAAAATGGTATTTATGTCTATTGATATCTATAGATCATGATCTCTCGAGTATTATCATATAAATATATTATATTATATGGTGTAGTGACATTTTTTATATTTAGATAATATTAAAAGATACTAATCCCTATTTATGATATTAAATTTAAAATATTTATTTTATATTATAACTTAATATTAGAATAACCTATATAATTTCACTTAATAAATCTAGTAAAAAAGTTAAATTATAATTAGACTACAAAGAATATCTAAATAAGTCAAAGTCATAGTGAATAAAACTATGTGAAACCACACATAAGCAAATAGAATAAAAACCACCATGGTCATGTTTGCCACCTAAGTTGATGTGCATAGCAAATACATGTTTTTTTTTTTGCCCTACTATTAATTAGGAATCCAAAGAGGACATTGTTGAATAAAATGATACCCATCGGCTTTTTTATACAAATAAGGTAAATATCCTTCAAAATTACGGATTTAATGTGACATTTAAATTTTTTTTCAAAAATATTATAAGTTTTATACGTTATATATGACTTACTTTTAAAATCTGTTAATATATATATATATATATATATATATATATATTATAATCATGTATATCATATATACGAGTTTTAAAAATTATTTTAAAACTTTAATATAATAATCAAATATTAATTAAGTTAATATTACATTCAGGATAAATTATTTTCTAATTAAGATCAAAGTAAAGATATTATAAATCAAAATTACATGATGTCACAACTAGGGCCCCACAGTGAAAAGAAAAAATGGCACATCAAATAAAGGAAACTGATCGAGGTATAAAGGAAGCCCCACTATTTTTTTTAAAACATGAAAAACTTAAAAAAAAAAATTGCATTATCAAGATTGAGTTCAGGAGTTTAATTATACAGAAAAAATATTTAGCAATCTATAGCGTTCATTAAAAAATAATTACCTTAAATTGTAGAATACTTCTACTTTATTTCTAAATTTTAATATTTATTTATTGAAAAAGATAAATTTGAGATAAACGAAGTTTTAAAATAGTTAAATTTAATAGATTTTAATTCATGTTTTTACATATTTTTAAGTGTAATGAAAAAACTAAAGTTATACAATTATTAGAGAAAAACGTTTTTTGAAAGATATAAAAGAGAGGACGAGAATATTATTAAAAGATAGTTAAGATTAAAATGTTAAAAAAAAACCTTTTGAATGAGATATAAAAAATAGAATTAAACTTTTGAGAGTGTCAAAAGATGTAACAACAAAATATACTTTTTTTTTTTTTTAGTTTTTCTACGAATGGGAATAAAAATATTTTTTACAATCACTACGCCAGAAATGAAATGTTAGAGCGGTTTCAGTTGAACATAGAAAGTGGTTATAAACGCTATAAATCTTACGTTATGCAATATTTTAAATTTTGAAAAACGGTTATTTAACCGCTCTCTAATGTATATTTTGTAGAACAGTTACGCGCATAACCGCTCTCAGAAGCGCACTAAAGAGAACGATTAACTGCATAACCACTCTCTATACATATAGCACTTTGGAGAGCGGTTATGAGCAAACCGCTCTTAAAAGGTGAATCAAATAGAGCGGTTCACAACTAACTGCTATCTAATCTTGAACTTATAAGAGTGGTTCTTTCGTAACTGCTCTGCAAAGTCCAATTTTGAGAACGGTTCACTCGTAACTGCTCTCTTAAATGTAGTTCTAAGAGCAGTTATTTGGTGAACAGCAAGTTAACTTTGCAACTATGTGAACCGCTCTCCAAAGTTAAAGAAATTTTTTTAATTTTTTTAATAAAATTACCATAATTTTAATTTTTAGCATACCTGATAAAGCATACAGTATTCAGAACCAATTCAATCAGAATATAAATTACAAACAAAGCCTGATATACCAGAATTTCAAAGCAATTGCACATTACATTATTCAATTACAATTCACATGTACAGATTACAATCAAAGTTTACATTGACAAGAGGAAAATAATATCATATTTATACTTTTTGCCTAATGCCTTGAAAGAAAATTGTCTAAGTATTGTAAAAAAAATACTACAAATCTATTATGCTTAATATCTCTTTTAAATATCTATGGTAGAGATATGCACACTACTCTTTTTGCACTTGATGAATTTTGTTGGGAAAGTATTGAATAAAAAATAATAAAACACAAAGCTTAATTAATTAAGTTAAATAATAAGCATATGGCAGACAGTTAGCATATGTAAGGGTCTTATATTAATTAGGATTACAGTTTGTCCATGGTGCAAAGCATCCCCAATGAATAGACACACATAATATTCACAGTCATCATTATTTGTTTGCTTTGGATACTATGTGGAAGATAAAAACAAATAAACCAATATTAACTAAGAGAGATATACAGTGTAATTAATATTTACCTGAAAATTAAAAACATATTGTATGATATAGTGTTATCTGACCCAACTTGTTTGATGCATCTTTGTCCTAGAGGACTGCACTACCTTCTCTGCTTGATATGTGACAAGAGCACTAAAAGTGGTGCATGAAAGAACTTAGATACTTTTAAACCACTTAACGTTAATCATAGTTGTTTGACATAAATGAATGCTAACTTATTAAATAGGTTCTGCATATGTGTTATGATCTTCAGCTGCTTGCATAGAGGATCTATATAATACATAGTCTCATAAGAGGTATTGATGGCAATTAAGACCCAATGTTGCCTACCAAGAGTATAAATATATGTTTAAGATTACAAAAATTAAAAGTTATATCCTAAATTATAAAACATAAAGCAGAGTCGCAATCAGATTGACTTATCCAACATTATAAAGTGCAAAAATCAAGTGATCTTCACCCATGTGACCCTTCAACATTTCAGCATATGTTGATGTGGATTCAGATTGAGCTGTTGTCCATTTCATATGGAGATATAAATGAGAATCTATTTGCCATTGTTGTCCTATGCAAGTAAGCTTCACACAAATATCTTGTATTGCAAAAGCAAAATTGAAATGCATTATACAATGAAATGTACAAAAAGTTATAAATTGTTAAAGAATTACATAATTTGTAAAGTAATTTACCATATGTAAAGGTTAATGCTAGAGACACTCAACCAATGTCGACGTATGACCTCTAAAATGTTTTTTTTTCCCACAGTGTCATAAAACTCTTTACCCTAGTGCTCAGTTGTCAGATGAATTGTAGTTGTATCAATGGTTTGATCACTTCTCACAAAAAGCTTCATCATATCCAAGCATATAGCTCCTTGGGCTTTTGCCAACTAAAGAATATTTGATGATACAGAAGCACTGCTACCTTAATTGGATGGACCAGCAATGGACTCTTTTGAGTAGCTTGTCTCTTTCCTTAACCTCTTACTTGATGAAGGAGCAACCTAAAATATATATGTATTAATTGTAACATCTAGTCTTCCAAACTATAAAGAAGCTTGCATACATACCTTAGGTCTTAAAGTGATTAGGGACATTGACCAAGCAACATAAGTACCAATGGATCTCTTAGGCAAATTAGGTTTGCTTGTTCATTTGGGACAGGCAATGCAGAGTCCTCCTCATGTTGTTGCACTACCTCTAGTGAAACCTTACCATACTCTAGAGGAAGAGTCATATTATGCAAAGAGTCCCCAACCACTGTATGATATACTCTCCCTCTTGCAACCAAGCAAAAAGGGTTGTTCAAGTATAGCAAACAGTCATGATAACCCTAAAAAAATAAGTTTGTTATATTCTTTTCTAATTAAATCAAAAGTGATAAACAGTAAAAGGTAAATAATGATTTAGTGGAGCATAAATACTTCTGGAATCTCAACGGATGCAATTGGTGTGCAGCTACCTTTAT